AGAGCAACAGCACAATGAATTCCGTATCGGGAACTGCTAGTCTGATGACGTCGAAGCTTGCTACTGGTCACCATGCCTTAACGTACAAATTTCAGCTACCTCATCATCTTACGAAGACGATTCGCATAAGGAAACGAAACTTAAAATTAGGTATCTATTAACAGATACGTCCGATGCAGAAGCTATGATGATTCTATTTTAGGTGTTACAGTAGAAGCGACGAATCAGGCATGCAACGGATGCCTCATTACTCATATTTCAACCGTCGGAGCCCTTGGGAGGGACGGCCGAGTTCAGGTTGGCGATTTCCTGCTGCGGATAAACAATGAGAACATGCGATACGTATCCAATGCTCAGGCGAAAGCGATTCTGAAGCGAACAAATTTGGTCAGCACGGATTTCAAGTAAGCACTGTGAGAAACGTTTCGAAACGGCTAGGATACTGTATGCAAATAAAGCTGTTTTGATAAATCCGATTTATCAAGAAACTGTTTCATGATCATTTGTTGAATGGTACTTTGTAGGTTGTTCTCCTTAACTTGCTTATCTTCTCCTTTGATGAGCAATGAACCTTGCAGTTGTTTCTTTCGTCATTCTTCATTTCTCTCCAGAGCCGCACTCGGCGATGAGGACATAACTTGCTATATGCAAGACTTCTGGGTCCCCATTTTCGTTGTCACCAGTGACAATTGTATTCCTATCTTCTTTACTCTACATATTCATATCATATCTTCGAAAACTAGGAAATATTTGCAACCTATTTCTCGTTTGAAGCGATCCATTCTTTAGTAGAAACTGCTTATTCATAGGCAGCAGGTTTGCTGCAATTAGAGTGACGTTGCAACTTGTCTACCTCCTTAACATGAAATAAATATTTAAGCCCCATTATGCACATGTTGACCATGGAAGTGTATAGATCAGAATAAGTGCCTACAGTCGTGTCTGTCTGGGTCTGGGCATGTAAATGTGTTGTAGTATCGCATTGTTCGTATTCGCTGAGATGAGGAGGATCCTATTCTACAGTATCAACATCGTTACTGTTGAATGTTGTCATGTGGTACCGATACAAAGAAGATTTAAAACACATTCTCTGCGACTCTTTCGCCTAAAAGGTCGAGCAGCTTTAGAGTTACCTTGCATCCGTCAAAACGCGAGAAGTATTTTCGATCTATTTGATGGTGGTTTCAGTGCTTATAATTATACTCGTAAATCTTCATTACTATCAATGCAGCGTATTCGAAATGCCGGTAAAAGTAACTTTTCGCGTCTTTAGGAACTTATATTTTGAAGGAATTTTATTCCTGAATCTTTAGAAGAAATTCTCAGTGTTTTTGGGCTTTCTCAAGACTCCGCCAATTTTCTCTGCATTTAGGACTTTGTGAAAATCAGGCAAACGGTATTACCATTTTCTCTTTTAGAGAAAAACTGAACTCTGCGTTTTGCAAGAATGATAATTGACGGTCTATGAGCAGAGTTTCATGTTTTCTATTCTGAGGCTATGTGAGTGAAAGCTTCATCTTCATCTTCCATCGCCGTTTCTCCTTTCGGGTCGCGGAGGCAGACGCGTCAGACAGTGCTTCC